TTCTGAAAGGGGGAAAATGTGAAAAATGAGGTGGGGGAGGCAAAAAGGTCGCTGGCCCTTTAAATGCCCCCAGGAAGTAACTTCAGCCAGAGGGTGACTTTCACATTGTGGGGAGGAGAAATAACAAAGGCTGCCCACCTCCCTGCACCTCAGCAATGAAGCAGCAGAGAACCGATCCCCAGTATGCAAGGGACAGTCGTCTTTTCCACCCTAGCTCCTGCAGGCTGCAACCACACCACTCCAGCAAAACTTGCAGAGCTACCTACTATGTGCTGGAGGTTGTGGGTGGGTGGCTGTTACTGGCTAAAAGGCTGAAATGGACTCCAGTCTGCCATCCTGCCTCCCTGGAAGTTGCAAGGCTTTCACAGGCTCCAGAATTCCCAGATGGTGGCACCAGATTCTGCCTGTGCTGTTGTCTACAGTGGGGGAGGTTCCTGGTGCTTCCTACTCTGCCCCCTTCCCAGAATCCTCCTCCACTTCACATTGGATCTGCTTAGGCTGATGAACTCTGGGTTATCGGTATGACTGGAAACAGATTTAAGATCAATGTGGCCTGAAGAACACAGACCCATTTGCAGTTATGCGCGTCCCTCAAGTCTGCTGCTTGTTCACCACCTCAAAGAATTCAAGGCCAAGTCAGACTGCAGGAATTGCCAGAAAACCATGCGATTCTGGCCTCTGCCTCTCAAGACAAGTAACAGGAATAAAGGTCCACTGAGATCGATTCCAAGCTGCATAATGAGAAAGGACAGGAAATGAATTTACTGAGCGCCTTCTATATTCCATATTGGGATGGTGTACTAGATGCTGAGATGGTGATGAGTAAAAAGAATGAATGAGTTCCTGGACCCCTCAGTGGGGTTCACCTGAGTAGTAAGTGCATGTTCAGGCTGGTGTCATCTTTGGGAGGACTTTGGTATGTGTAGAGGGTGAGGGTATACATGTAGGTTTTTGATGGAAAAGATCAGTCCTGTGGAAACATGGTTATGAGCTAACATCAAATCACTGGTGAAGAAACTAGAATTAGTCATTGCATCCCCAAATTCTGGTCACTAGCTACTTTTCCTTCCCACCTTATTGCCTTGGTCAGAAACTTAAAGAGAGAACTTCAAAGCCAAGTTATACTGCCTACAGCAAGAAGGTATTTTATGAAAACACTGATCCAGAGCATTCCCAGACCAGAAACATTTCATACCTCAAGCAAAGCTTAGACACTTGATGTACTTGTAACATGCCAACTAAGCCAAGTTTGCAGTACAGGCCCCAGACTTCCCTCCTTGCATAGCTTTGGGTTAGTAAGAACCGTATGATCTTGTGTGAGATTTGGAAAGTGGAAAACATGCAGCAGCCACATCCTTTTTATATTTGGAAGGACAGCAGGAACAGGGCTTAAGTTGTCTGGCACATAGTAAGCACTCAATAAATAATGGTATGACAAGTGTCCGCCTGTGGCCGCAGGACAGCTTTTTCTATGCACTGTTCTTAGCAGCTGAACCTACTCTACCCTTGCGGATGCCCAGATTACTGAAGAATTTTACTACTTGCTCTTAAATGCTAAAAGGGCAGGTCCCTCCAAGCATGGATATTTAAGTGACTGCAGAATCAGAGGAACACCTTTTTGCCTTTTCTTGCTCCAACCAGATTCCAACATGGTGGGTGGCAATATCTGTATCTAGAGAAAAGGATCTGAAAAAAACAAGAACCCAAACACTGAAGTTCCTTATCTCAACCCCGAGCACACTTTAAAAAGCAAATGCCCACCCTTTATTTTTTTTAAATTTTTTAATCCTCACCCAAGGGCATTTTTTCCATTTTTTGTTCAGATAGAGGAGGAAGGAGAGAGAGAGAGAGAGAAACATCAATGTGAAAGGGACACATCGAGTGGCTGCCACCCGCACGACCCAACCAGGGCCGGGGACAAACTGCAGCCGAGGTACGTGCCCTCAGTGGGAACCGAACCCGAGTCTCTCTGGACCGCAGGCCGACGCTCTAACTGCTGAGCCAAACCGGCCAGGGCGATGTCCACCCTTTAAATGCAGGTACACTTCCCACGCTGTTTTCACTCCAAAGTAGAACGTGCCGTTGCAGTTCCACCAAATGCTTAGGGGTCTGAAGGGACTACCAACATCTCATTCCATATGCCAAGACAGTCATGCATAAGACTAGAAAGGACCTATTCTGGAATTGTATAAGGGCATCAGGTGACCTGGATAACCACAGGACAGCCACTTTTCCAATGGGCCGGCCCCTCTCTTGACCTCCAGTCCTTGGGGAATCCCTGCTTTGTGGTCGGTTCCGCTTGTCCAGCTGTGGGTAGCAGTTGGCTCCAGCAGGATGCTTTTTGGGAATTACATTCAGTGATGTCATGTGTTAAGATCATACATAAATTGTGTGCAATTACAGGTAAAGAGATACATTATGCAAATATAGCAGCACCAAAATGATTGTGCATTCTCTATATCCTCCCCCTACCTCCCAAAGAAATGTAACACATGCATGAGAAATCTGAAAGGAAGCACCAAGGGTCCCCTAAAACATTTTCGAGCCATTAGAGAATGTCCTTTTATGTACAGTCTTCTTGGTCATTGCTATTCAAACACATGAGCAGCCCATTGAGGAAGTAACACACAGCTAGGTTGGGAGACTCTGAGTTTGGGGATTTTGACTAACTCAAATTCAATGCATCTGCCACCCGTGTTGGTGGCTAGTCTCCCAGGGGGCCAGTCTCCCCACGTCCTGACGCACCGCTGAGGGGAGTTCAGTGTTGCAGACCAAACAGGCGTGCGCGAAGCTGACACCCTGTGCCCTGGGGCCAGGTGCAGGCTGCCCCAGTGCCCAGAGCACGACTCTCCAGCCGGGAGACTTCTCTGGCTCACCTCAAGCCCCCTAGTGTAATCATTATTTGCTTAGGAAAAACATGCAAAGGGAATTATCTCATTACTAAATAATTTAGCAGCCAGTGGAAAGGAATGTAACTCAAATGCAGAGACGAAACAAGGAATTCAGAGAGAATAAAAGTGCCTACACTGCACCGACCTGTCTGCACACCCCGGTGGTACCATGCCCGTCCCGTAGTAGCGTGTGAGTCGTGATGCAGTAGGTGACATCTCCTCATGCCTTCAGAGCATGTAACTGGGAATCTGACTAAATATGCTACTTAAGACAAAATGCATGCTTAACAAGGAGCATCGCCTGACACAGGCTTACCTACAGTTCACATATTTATTAAAGGGCGACAAATGAAATCTCTTAATTTCCCAGACTGAATCTACCTTACAACCACTTAAAATGGTGGAACACCCACTGGGCAACGAAAAAACAAACCCTCTGCTTTTCTGATTATCTGGTTCATCTGAACAAAGATGCGCCGTCCCACAGCCTTTAACCCAGTGCTGACCTCGCTGTGCTACACAAGGGCAGGTCAGCACTGTTCGGCCAACTTCCTGTCTCATTTCAACCAGGGCCCCCTGTAGTTTTCCAACCAAAACCACCTTCCCTGAAGACTTTAAGCAAAACCAAGAACAATGTGAAACCACATGTTTGTATTTAAGGAACACACAAAGTGCATCTGAATGGTTTTTTAAAAATTTTGTTTTTAATTCATCCCCACTCCATATGCAGTCTGAAGGACATCTGCCAATCTCTAGACACACAGTTGATTACTGGATTCGATACAAGAATATACAGAGTTTCTGTTCTGAGTGACGCGGGAGGGGACCTTCTGCCTGCCTGCTCAGACCCACTCGCTCCTCCACACTCGCCCGTTTCCCCGGTGCCACACACACTCGGGACAGTCATGGGCTCATCTGCTTTTGGATGCCTTTTTGTTTGTTACCTGCAGAAAGCTAACTGGCCTTTTCAAAGATCAGATCTCAGTCGTGGGCTCACTGGAGTCATGCTCTAGTCAACAGAGCTACAAATGCTGAACAGTTAAGCAAATAAGCAAAATCAACTTTTGCTTTTCATATCTCCTAGGTAAGATTTGGGTCTTTAAAAGAGATAGCTCATAAAAAAAGAAAAAAGCATGAAGAGAATTTAAAAGAATTTTCATTATCATTAATGGGGAAACACAATTTAATTCCATTTGTTCCATGGAGAAGAAAACAGGCATAAAAGAAAATGTCTATTTTTAGATTTAACATGGGTCCTAACCTAATAATAAAAGTATTTTGTTAAGACCATTGTAAAAATTAAAAGTAACCTAGAATATAACTGCCAGTGTTCTTTAGGGTTTCTAGAGATGTCGCAGGTTGAGGCGAGGGCTCCCTTGGGTTCTCGGGGCGTCCCCAGTGTCTTAGGCTGTGGGGATGGAAGGCCACGCTCCATCTCCTTTACCCATAAGGACGGAAATGCAACAACATGCACAGATTTAAGACTTGCCCTACCTCACTGCCCACGGACTGGATTGTCAGCTAGGTGTACCTGCACGGGAAGCTTCTGCCAATTCTTTTTCATAACTCACACCAGAACCAAGCTCTCAGCAAAGGAAAAGGAAGCCACTGCGTGTCAGCCTGCAAGCAGAACCCGAATGCAGCCGAGCAAAACTACTTATTTTCTCAACTCTACAGAGTTTGTTTTTAAAAATTCAGCTATTGTGCCCGGCCGGTGTGGCTCAGTGGTTGAGCACTGACCCATGCACCAAGAGGTCGCCGGTTCGATTCCCGGTCAGGGCACATGCCCAGGTTGTGGGCCAGATCCCCAGTGGGGGGCATGTAGGAGGCAGCCGATCGATGTTCTCTCTCATCAGTATTTCTCTGTCTCTTAAAAAAAAAATCAATTAAAACATATCCTCGAGTGAGGATTGGGGAAAAAAAATGCAGCTACTTGCCCGGCCGGTGTGGCTCGGTGGTTGAGCACTGGCCCATGCAGCAAGAGGTCGCCGGCTCGATCTCCACGGGGGCTTGTGCAGGAGGCAGGCGATCAGTGTTTCTTGCTCATCGATGTTTCTGTTTCTCTCCCTCTCCTTTCCTCTCTCCTTAAAAATCAATAAAAACATGTTTTTTAAAAAAATTCAGCTACTTAATAGTAGAAAGTCAAGGTTTTTTTGTTTTTTACATGAGAGAGGAGTGTAAATAAGTTCCATAAACCAGTATACAAATGTTTCTGAGCCAGTAATTTGAAAAAGAAAACAAAAAATGCTGCATGGATCCTAAACGGATATGCCAATAAACCCACGCGAGGTCCGAGCCCACGTTCTCCACAGCAGGGTCAGCGTGGAAGTCAGGCACGGGCAGTAGCGATGCCAGCAGGCAGGACTGTGCTCAACATTACTTCCTAAAAGGAACAGAGGAAGGAAAGAAGCACAATTCTGATTGTTCTTTTCACATTTCAGTCTCTCAGAACTTCATTCAAAGCAGAGGAAGCTCATGAAGAAACCCTCCGCTCACGGCCACTGCTGAAGAGGGTTCTGGGACATGCTGGCTCGCTGAGGGGGGAGCTGCGCTAAGTCAGCAAGCGGCCTCCGAGGTTCTGGCTGTTACGTCGGTGCCGCAGCTGTGGGCCTGAGGGGACACCAGACCCCTCTGCTACGGGTTCTGCTGGTTAAAAATACAATAGTTGCCTTCGTAGGGCTTCACTTATTTAAAAAACCAAACCCCATCTTCCTTCCCTATCCCACTGGAAGAAAGGAGAAACTGATTAAGCATTTCCGTTTAGATTTCTGAAGTGCTATTAAAATACTACCAAATGTAAAACCTAACAGACAGACCCAGATTGTTAAGATTATCTCAAGGGACCTGAATTGGGCAGTGGGAGGTGACATAAGCTGAAATGAGCTGGACTTCCGCTGTCGGCTGTCTCCTCACGCCAACAGTCACTGTTTGTTCCCTGGAGTGGTCCCACGCCACCTCGACGAGAGCTGGACAGCAGCAGGGTGTGGTTTGGGGGAAGCTACTGGTTTTGCCATTTGCTTCCAGAATCACATAGACTATGACGAACTTTACATTGAACACTGTTTAGTCCTGAGTTGGGGAGAGCCCGTGGAGGAGGGGCCGAGTTCATGGGACTCCTCCCTCCTTTGCTGGTGTCATACGTGGCTTTTAGCTTTCTCCTCTTCCGCTGCTTGACTTCCCGTTGCCTTCTCATTGGTGACCGCTTCTAAAGCCTTCTTGCTCACTGCTTTACTGGCCTCTTCCTGAGGAAGAAATAAGCAAAATGCTCAGTTAGTTCCTGGCTCCGCAGACCATCTGTCAGGTCTCACAGGAGAGGGCAAGACAATTACTTTATTTAGGTTCTCGGCTGGGGAAGCCACGCTGCGTGCCAACGCTTCTGTTTGGTTAAACCACTAGCTTGCCGCTGTGTAATCACCGAGTCCAGTGCCAAGCGGGCTGGGAGTGAAGGGTGAGCCCAGGACCAGAATACAGCTCTGCAGCAGGGCAGGCAAGCCTCTCACCGCTTTGCCAGGCTGACTCCTGAACGTCCAAGGAGGGGGCACGAGGGTGGGTTTCCCCGCCACAGCCCATTTCCTGAGAAAATAAAAGGTCTTGACATGGAGGTATTTGGGAAAAACCTGATGTGCCCAATTTTTTTTGTGTGTGAAAAGATGTTTAATAAGCCTTTTTTTTTCTTTTTCTTTATTGATTTTAGAGAGAGGAAGAGAGAGAGATGAGAACATCGATTGGCTGCCTCCTGCATGCCCCCCACTGGGGATCGGGCCCACGACCTGGGCATGTGCCCTGACCGGGAATCGAACTGGCAACTTCTTGGTGCACGGGTTGACGCTCAACCACTGAGCCACACCGGCCGGGCCCTGGCGTGTAGAGCACCATCCTACCCCTGGCCCCAGGCCGGCCTCAGCTCAGAAAATGCCTTCCCCTAGCCTTTGCTTCTGGCTTGTTGAGCTGTCCCTGTGCCCATGCCTCACCTCTGAGAATACAAATCGAAGGGGCAAGGTCGGGCCTGAGCTACCGGGAGACGAGCGGTTCCACACGCACCTTGGCATCCCGCTCTGCAAACTTGGCGAACATGTTGGCGTAGGTTCTGCGGTCCCGCTCGTTGTGCTCCTTCGCCTTCTTCTGGCACATGGAGATCTGCAGCCTGGCGGCCTTATTCTGGGGGTTGACCTCCAGCACCTTCTCAAAGCTGCCCCTGGCCGACTCGAACTCGTTCATGAGCAGCTGGGCCTCGCCCCTCCGGTACAAGCCCTTCTCGTTGGCACTGTCCAGCCCAAGGGCCTAGAGCAGACGGCGTAGGTTTCAGAAAGAATCCTCTGACTTGTGGGAATTTTAAGGAAACTCAGTATTTAAATAACTTACTGAAGCTCTCTGGCCAGGGGAATTAGAAAAAGTGTACTGAAAAGATGGGCTCCAGATTATTACATACTAGTGACCAAAACACAACTAACCACCCAAATTAATTTCTGTATTTCATACAATTTCTATAAAGATCCCAAAGAGATTTGGAAGGGGGAGCTTGCGAAGTTCGTTTTGAAGTTCAGAGGAAGGAGTACATTCCCCAAAATGTTAGAAAAACAAAAATAATAAGGGGACTTGCCTTACCTGAGAAAAAGATATATTAACTACTGAAATTAAAGCAGTTCAGCCCTGGCCAGTTTGGCTCAGTGGTTAAAGCATCGGCCCGCAAACCAGTGAGTGGCGGGTTCGATTCCGGCCAAGGGCACGTACCTTGGTTGTGGTTCGTCCCAGCCCTGGTCAGGGTCATGTGGGAGGCAACCGGTCGATGTGTCCCTTTCACATCAATGTGTGTGTATGTCTCTCTTTCCCTCCCTCCTACTTTATCTGAAGATAAATGGAAGAATATCCTCAGGTGAGGATAGAAAACAAACAAAACAGTTCAGTGACCAGTCTGTGGACAAACAGTTCAGTGGAACAGAACAAAGCCTTCGGAAACAGACTGCGTAAATCAGCAGGGAAAGGCTTAACGTCACAGACGAGACAGTAGCTATCCATATAGAAAATAAGTTAATTCTTACATCATAAACACAAAAGTAATGTCTAAACCAAGTATATTTAAATGCCCATCCCCTAAAAATATAATAGGCTTATTTATTTATTTTATCCTCACCCAAGGACATTTTTCCATTTTTTGTTCAGATAGAGTGGGAGGGAGAGAGAGGAAGAGAGAGAGAAACATCAACGTGAAAGGGACACATCGAGTGGTTGTCACCCACACAACCCAATCAGGGATGAGACAAACGGCAACCGAGGTACATGCCCTTAGCGGGAACCAAACCCGGGTCTCTCTGGACCGCAGGTTGATGCTCCAACCGCTGAGCCAAACCGGCCAGGGCTAATAGGCTTATTTTTTATTGTATTTTTTAAAAAGTAAACCTACTTGGAATAGGTTTTGCAACTACTGAATGGGGTTATTTTTTATACTCTTAGGGTGGGGAAGGTTTCTAACTAGAAAAGAAAAGACACATGTGACTTAGTAAGTGTTACAACTTTCTTTACAGAAAAAGATAACCATCAGCAAAGTTAAAAGACAAATAAGAAGAACAGGGTCCCAGCATCCCTGTTGTCAGACAAAGGGTTAACAGTGATAATGTACAGACTGTCTCAATCAATCAAAAACAGAAATAAAGCAAAGAATGTGAATAGGCAATTCACAGAAGTACAAATGGCAAATAATGAAAACATACGCAATAAAAAATGAAAAGTTTTTGTTTCCAATAATATCAAGAAAAAAACTCACTGATAATAGCCCGACCAGTGTGGCTCAGTGGTTGAGCATTGACCCATGCACCAAGGGGTCACCGGTTCAATTTCCAGTCAGGGCACATGCCCAGATTGTGGGCCAAGTCCCCAGTACGGGGCATGCAGGAGGCGACCAATCGATGTTCTCTCTCTCTCTCCTTCTCCCTTCTTCTCTAAAATCAATGAAGGAAAAAAAAATATATATATATATTTTAAAAAAACACTGATAATATTAAATGGTAATATATATTAAAATTTAAAATGTTACTGTTTTAAAATAATCATGTCTTTTGACCCAGTATTTCCACTTCTAGGAAGTCATCCTATAGAAACTATCCCACAAGTATACAGAGAGAGAGAGAGACACTACATAATTTGTAATGTCAAACACCTGGAAATCTACCAAAAGGGGTGGCTAGATAAACCATGGATGCATACAACGGATACTAAATAGATATTTCAAAGAATGAAGGAGAGTTATAGGATAGATTAATAAGATGCAGAAAAATGTCCTTGTTTTATAAAACTGTATCTAAATCTATATATTCTAATTTAAACACAAACACATATATGTTCCTCTATGGGAAAACAGAAGGAATATGTGTGAGATAAATGCGTGGTCTTGGGAGAGATGGTCAATGGGAATTTTACAAATGAGCTTTTACTTTCTTATATGTTTCCATAATGTGTGACTTTTGAATTACTTTATACTGCTATAATAAAAAATAAAGAAGCAAAAGCTTAAAATGTAATTAACATTTTTTCTTAGGTAAACATTGAGTAAAACATGATAGGGAACTTATTGACCCAAAGAACTCAAAATCTTAAAATTCAATAGTTGCTTGTTTTTCTTATTCCTTTCTGTTTATCTTTAAGATACATTCAATTATTAGCTTTACCCATAGCATGACACACACTATTCACACTGAGATCAGATCCCCAACCTGACAGTCCGCACTGTCACACTTCACGTGGACACTGTCATGGAGCACCTAGGTACTAAAAGTGCAGGAGCAATATAAACAACACACTTATAAAAAGGGAGAGGGTTGCTGATGCTTGGTGGGTCTTTCAAATTATTTGTTTGTATTCTTTTTCTTTTTTTCTTTGGTACATGCCCCTAGCGGGAACCGAACCTGGGACTCTCTGGTCTGCAGGCCGATGCTCCAACCGCTGAGCCAAACCAGCCAGTGCTTTATGTGCATTCTTAATCAGGGAATAAATATGATTATAACAAAAAGTGACTTCTTTATATATCCTCTGTATGAGCATTTGCAGCCTGTTATACTGAAGTCCTGAAAGACTTAAGTAAAATCTATTTTTATTAAATTGAACCTAAGGAGTTATATGTCTAATCTGATACCAAGCGCTATAGATTTAAGAAAGGTCACAGATAAATATTGTTGTTGTTTTTTTTTAATTTTTTTCCCTTTATTGATTTGAGAGAGAGAGAGAAACATTGATGAGAGAGAATATTGATTGGCTGCCTCTGGGGATGTGTCCCGACCGGGAATCAAACCAGCAACCTCCTGGTGCACGGGGTGGATGCTCAACCACTGAGCCACACTGGCTGGACTATAAATAAAAATTGTTTAATTTTATTTATTTTTTTATCCTCACCCGAGGACACTTTTTTTTTTGCATTTATCTTCAGATAGAGTGGGAGGGAGAGAAGGAGGAAGTGAGAGAAAAACATCGATGTGAGAGACAGACATCGAGTGGCTGCCACCCTCACGACCCCACCCGGGGCCAGGGGCAAACTGCAACCAAGGTACGTGCCCTTAGCAGGAACCGAACCCAGGACTCTCCGGTCTGTGGGCTAAAGCTCTAACCGCTGAGCCAAACCAGCCAGGGCGATTGTTTAATTTTATAAAAGCTTTTATTCATAATGTATTATTAGAAATAGTCTAGGCATCAGAGAAGTCTTTAATCAAAACCTTTCTGAATTTCCCAGTTCATGCTGAGAAACAATCCCAAACAAACAAACAAAAAAAGCCAAATGAAAACAGCCTTCAACCCTTGGCTGAGAAGCGGCAAAGGAAGAGCAGGGATGCGCGGGGAGGGGGAGGGGGCGCCGGGGCGAGGACGGGCCTGTACCTTATTGCAGCACTCCACGGCTTTGGTGTATTCTCGCAGCTTCAGGTAGCACATGGCCAGGTTCAGGAAGGCAGCAAGCAGAAACGAGTCTGAAGCTTTGGACTCCTTTTCTGACAGACCGTATTCCATCTCCAGCCAGGACACTATCTTCCCATACTGGATCACCGCCTGCAGGTACTTGCCTCCCTAGGAGAAAAGAGAGGGATGACTCTCTGGACAGGCTCTAGACGGTGCACGAGGAGGGTGAGCTCAGGCCTCCCCAAGAACGCCAAGTCCTCAAGTCGGAACCCTCCTCACACTATCCCTGGGATTCGATCAGTGCTTTGTTCTCAGGTATGGCCAGCCAGGTACTTTTCCATTCTTTAAGTCCCAGTGACCCGAGCTGGTTCAGGACAGGTCACGGCACAGGCTGCTCCCCAGCACTCACCAGCACCCTGTTCTGGGGGCAGTTCTCTCAGTGAGAGGGCAGCAAGGCTTTGAGGTTACATTATTTGGTGGTAACATCCATCCATCCATCCATCCATCCATCCATCCATCCATCCAATCTCCCAAAAGGCTGGTGAGTAGTTTCAGACCATGTCACTAGTTTACTGCGGGGAAGTTCCGTTCCCTTTGCTCCTGACCATCAACTCTGCACAGTGGATACATTGGGCAAGTCTTAATGATCTAAACCAGGTGTCAGCATATTTTCTGTAAAGAGGCAGATAACAAATATTTAAGGCTTTTCAGGCCAAATAACTTGTTACAACTCTGTCACTGGTGGTGCTAAAATAGCTACAGACAATATATAAATAAATGGGTGTGGCTGCGTCCCAATAGAACCTTACTTACTAAAACAGGCTGTAGTTTGCTGACCTCTGAGCTATAAACAGAGGGAATGGAATATACATGGTTGAATAGCAGCATCCAACAAAAATAACTATAAAACACAAATTACAGAGATGTCAGTTAACTACATGAGAAAACATTTTTTCTTAATTGTATTTTTGCTCTTATATGATTGGCAGAATTTGAACATACGGCGAATAACAATATGTGAATAACCGTATGTGAATAATTCATGTGAATGAATTATATATATGTTCTATATAAGAATTAAGGGGCTGAGACAATGTGTTTGCTGCCATTTTAGAATGAATGAAAAAAAGGTGACTTATTAAAGCTCGAAAATGGGACACATCCTACTGGAGGGCAGAACCATAGCTAGACCATTGGAACAGCAAGTCCAACGTGAGCAATGCCGTGTCAAGGCGACGTCACAGGCTTTGCCAGTCCAAGCAGGGCACACGCCTCACCACAGCCATGTCTCCCTCGTGTGCTGCACACCTCCCTGACTGAGAGAAAAGTCACAGGGCAGGACTTCAAGGGCTGGCCCTGCAGAAGGAAGCCCTGGCGTGGATTTTGGAGAGGATGGGTCCGACCAGTACCAAGTGGGGAGCCTGGGTCTGAACGAGGCAAAGCTGTATGCCCACCAGGCACCGCTCTCCCCAGTGCGTGTTAGGAAAGGGACGAGAGCTCCCCAGGTCTGCTTCACAAGGGCAGGCTGCAGGGTTCTGAGGTGTCTGAAGAAGGGTTCTAGAATCAGTCTGTTGTCCTGTCCACCTCAGAAATCTGTGCTACAGGTTGTGAGAATATGAAACCGGGCCCTTTCACAATAACTGCTGAAATTCTTGAGGAAATTATATTGCACTTGCTATGGATTGAACTGAGATACCCCCCACCCGCACCAATTCACACTTTGAAGCCCTATCCCCAATGTGGTATTTTGGGAGATGGGGCCCTTGGGAGGCAATCAGGTTTGGGGGGGGCCTTAAGGGGTGCCCTCACGATAGAATTAGTTCCCTGGTAAGAGACTCTAGAGAATGTGTTCCTCCCCATCCACAAGCACCTAGGGAAAGTCACACGAGGACACAGCGAGAGGGAAGCCACCTGCGACCCAAGGAGAGACTCTCCTAAGACGCTGCTGGCCCCCCGATCTCAGACTCATATCCAGAGCTGTGAGAAATGAATTTCTATTATTTAAGTCCAGTCTCGGGTATTTTATCATGGAAGCCTAAGTCACTAAGGCAGGAATTATATTTTGTTGTAGTCATAGGCTCACGACTCCTTTTTGGGGCACTACAAAAATAAAAATAAAGAATAAAGCTCTCACCCGGTTTCAGGGTTTGGAATTTCTTTCTGTCACTCTATCCTGCTGGACTGTGACCTCTGAGGACAAGAAGCATGTTCTATCGCTTTTGGAGTATCGAGGGTTTAGCACAAAGAGGCCCTTAATGAAGGTTTGCTGAATAAATATTAAGGTCAAAGGAATATAACTATGGAATCCAGAGTTCTTCTGTCATTGGGGGAAAAATGGAGGTGGGCAGAAATGAATGGTGTCATTTCATTTAGATCAGGTAAGGACATTTTCCCTGTTATGCCTTGTTTCTTCTTCCTCTCTCTCCTCCTCCATCTTTAATGTACCTCTTACCTTTCTGGTTATCTCCTGATATACTGTTATAGGGAATGAAAGGAAGAGCAGGGAGGACAAAGACCAGATATTATCCCTTGGGTAGGTTTTGAATAATCAGAATGGTAGAACTGCTACGGTTTCTACAAAGACGAAGAAGTAACAGACTTCACTGTAGTTCCTTTACATTGCCTGAGCATTGTGATTTCTTGGAAGTTCTTTCATATATATCTCAATCATACATCATTTTATTTAGATCTCAACTTCCAATGAGCATTTCTGCTTCTGAGGTGCTAAAACAAGAGTTCTTGACGGGGTGACTGGCCTCCAGGACATTTGGCAATGTTCAGAGGGGTGTCTGTCCTAATGGCACCCAGTGAGGAAGGGCAGGGAATGCTGCTCAGTATCCTGCCGCGCACAGGTCGGCCTCCCGCCAACACAGTGTCCGCAGTGCGGAGGGTGAGAAACCCTGCACTAAGCGAAGGTAGAAGGAGCCTTTGCCGGGTGGCGTAGCTGGTTGGCACGTCGTCCCCTACACCAAAAGGTGGAAGGTTCAATTCCCGGTCAGGGCACACACCCAAAAAAGAATGTAGAAGGAGAAAAAAGGCAGGGTTGACTCTTCTTACAAGTTATTTGTTTGTTTTTTTTAATCCTCACCCGAGGACACTTTTTTCCATTTTTTGTTCAGATAGAGTGGGAGGGAGGGAGAGAGAGAGAGAGAAACATCGACAGGACACATCGAGTGGCCGCCACCTGCATGACCAACCAGGGCCAGGGACAAACTGCAACTGAGGTACATGCCCTTAGCAAGAACCGAACCCGGGTCTCTCTGGACTGCAGGCTGATGTTCTAACCGCTGAGCCAAACCGGCCAGGGCTGTTTTTTAAAATATATTTTTATCGATTTGAGGGAGAGAGAGAGAGAGAGAGAGAAATGTCAACGAGAGAGAAACATGGATCGATTGCTCCTGCATGCCCCTCACTGGGGATTTAACCTGCAACCCAGGCATGTGTCCTGCGACCTCTTGGTTCATGGGACAATGCTCAACCAGCCTCAGCCACATGGGCCAGGCTTCTTATGAGTTTTTTTTTAACCTCAAATCCTGGAGTCATAAATGACAGTGTTATAAATCATAACACTGGTTTCTTGGTTCAGCAAGTAAAGACTGGTTAGTCTGAAAAGGTTCAGCTTGCTTTTGAAATGCTTTTCCCCCACAGAGCACAAGGGGGCGCCAGAACCCCATGTCACTGCTGTGTCCTGACTTCTGGCCACAGTGCCTCTTCAGGAAAGAGAAACACTAACCAGGTGTGATAGGGAATGCTCTTGTCCTGCAGAAAGAATGCTGTCAGCTGGGGGAGAAAATAAAAGGCCCGTCTGTGTAATTGGCCTGCACAACGCCTGGTACGTCATGCTGTTATCTAGGCTTAATTCTGTTTACAGCCACATGCAGTCTCTCCTACCTTCCTTCTCACCTGTGTGCAGAGACTGCCAGGAGGAAAGTACACTGTAACAGCAACATCGCTCTCACCGAAAGGCTGACTACAGTTCAACCCTCCTATGGGGAGGGATTCACCCACGTTAAGTGTAAGCTAAACCGGCAGGTCGATGGAAGGGGGGTGCCAACATCCTGATGGCAGGACACGCACACACGTTTTTACTTTGCCACTTCTGCTGCCACCCAGTGTGGACTCTGCATGGGCACCATGCTCCAAGGCAGCCCCCAGGAAGGCAGTGTGGAGGGCTGAAACCGGCCCTGAAATCTGAAAGGGAATGTGAACAGGAAACTACCCACCGACCAGTTTGAGGCCTTACAGCTAAAACTAGGATCACTGCTGGCTGGGATCTTTCACCTATAATTATGAAGGTGCCTCCGGGGAAGTGTTTAGTAGTACAAAATGTTCAGAGACATTCTGGGAGAAAAGTCTTAGGTCAGTGGTTTTGAACCTTTCATTAATTTTCCCCCAATGGACTAGTGTTTTGAAAGATTTCGTCTGTCAAATTGCATGTTAAAAATAATATGTTCCATATGTGTGATTGCTGGTCCAGATTTTATTCAAAGATCAGTAATTTTAAGAGGGTTCATAATACTTTGAAATATACAAATCACTATTACAGTTGTGATGCTAAGAAGTAACCAAGTTAAGTGTGGACACGTAAGCAATGCTTTCTGCTACTGCTCACAAATTCTGGCCATGTTTCTGTATATATTCAGGACACAGCTATATGACATGTGGCTTTGCAAGATTATTTCATTACTAGTAATGTTCCCCAAAGTTCTGAGCCATCAGCAACCAATGAGAGTTTCTAAATTGTTGAGCTTTCTTACTACACTGAGTTGATATAATTACAGTTAAATGCCTAGAGCCTCAACCCTCCCCACCCCCAAACTGTTGATGTTCTATTTAGAAGTTTGGGGAAATATAAAAAAAATACATTTAAAGACTTTAATGGACTCAAGGTATGTAGGAAACACTATCTAGGACCTGTGGTCTAAAGGGCTTTTATAGAAAAATTTCTTTTTGTTCTAGTGTATTGTGTATTTGGGTCTACAAAAAGCCCGTTTGGACCTTGAGCTTGTTTGGAGGTTCTAGCAGGGGAGCGCAGCTACTCGTATACCCTTGGCTGAAGACCGGTCCTCTCCTCGGGAAGGGGGGGGTCGTCCTCTTTGACCGAGCGCGCAGCTTCGGGAGGGATGAACATGGATGGGTTGAGGGAGGAGGGGGACACCCGCCTAGCCAGCCAGATCAGCTGAATCAACCCTGGAGATCAACGGGGTGACAGATGTCGCAGCCAGATTGCCCTCACATCCCAAAAAGCCCATTTGGAATCTTACTTGAATAGTTTTAAAGTATCCAATATACAGAAATTGAATTAAAAAAATAAAACATGCTCCAGAGTAAAAATTCATATAAGATTTTAGGGCTGGGAAGAAACCTAGGATCATCTAACTCCTCACAAACTTTTCACTTGAAAAAAATAACCTCTTTAGACCTTAAGTGACTTTAAATCACTGCGAGCCATAAGGCCCAGTTTTCCCAGTTTCCAATTCAGAGCTCATTCCACTGCACCCCAATGCTTCCTGGTGACCACACATTATTTGAGTATATATAATAAGTAGTTAGAAATAAATATAAATATAAGTAATTATATATTATCTAAGCCAACTGATTTCAAACTTATTTAACCAACACCCACAGTAAAAATTGTTTTAAATTATGAAACAGTAACTTACAAAAAAGTGAACAAAAGATTTATGAAACAAAATTCATCCTTAGTACACAATGCAATATACACTTCCACTAAAAAGATTTCATCACCCAGTAACGGGTCCCCTCCGAGTGTGGCGAACAAGAACCAGCACGCTGCTGCCGGCCGCGCTGCCTGCGATTGCGCAGTCTCTCAGAACTCTGCCTCACGCCATCGCCTCCGCCCCCTCCACACAGGCTGTCAATGCAACAGCATGTCTTAGAGCCGATGCTCCGTAAGGACCTGTTGAAGCACATCTATGCATCACTGCTTCAGACTGTTGAAAACATCATCTAATTTTTGTTCTTGGATTGCAGAGCGAGAAAAAGAAAGAAAAGCCTTGACGACACTGCCATTCTTTCTGTGACTCACTTGCTCACTAAGCCCTTGCGCGTGACGCGGAGCAGGTACATAGCTGGGGCAGGAAGCGCTGTCAGCACCCGGACTAGAGCTGAACAGAGTGCTGTTTCTTTTTGTCTTCTATCTGGGGTTTAAGATCTAACTGAGAAAATGACACATACAAGAAAGGGTTTTCGAGAAGCAATCAATGACAAAGATCACTCACAGAAGCTGGCGTGGCAGAGATCACTGTGGCCATCCTAAGAAATTAATTCTCTCCTCCTGTCACTTTCTTCTGAAATCTCTGCCTGTTCTCTTTCCTTGTCATGTGCCTTAGTGACTTGACCAAGACAGTGGAAAGGAAATGATGTGAAACTTACCCTATGAATTCCATTACTGCTAACAATTATTCTATTCTTTGTTTCATCCCACAAACACTTATTGAGTGCCAACTATGTACTAAAGCGGGATGCTTAAGGCCTGGAGTGCTCCAGTAGTGTCTGGGCAAGCCAGACGTGGTCTGCCTTAGGGAGGGTTACAATCCAGAGTAGATGGGGTGAAAGAGGCATCTGTGCCCTGGCCAGGTGGTTCATTTGGTTGCAACGTTGTCCAGTGCACTGAAAGGTCTCGAGGCCGCTCCCTAGTCAGGGCACATGCAAGCAGCCAAGCAATGTCTCTCTCCCCTTCTTCTAAAATCAATAAACATATCCTTGGGTGAGGATTTTAAAAATGAGGCATTTGTATTCTTTTGTCCCATTATCTCATTCTTTCTCACATTTCTTATACTGTAAATGCCAGATTTGTAAAAATTCAGGCTTACTCTCTTACCCAGAAGGGTGAGTAAAATTCAGAGTAGGAGTATCAGCACAACCCGCATTCTCGGAGAGGCCCGTGCAGGAACTCACATACCTTGAAGTACACAGTTCCCTTCTCCTTGACGATGGCAGCCTGCTCCAGTTTTTCTTTGGTATCCATCTCCCAGGACTCTTTGGCCTGTTGTGTAAAAGTGTGATAATGATTAGGTGAACAGAGAAGGAAAAGGCGTCAGCTGATGCCCAGAAGAACAAACAATAGCTCCTTCTAGAGGACACCCACACCTCAAACACACTGGCTTTTAAAACTGTCCCAATGCCAAGTCTCTGCCAGGTGGGAACACATTTTCCAATGACAAAGCTGCAGCAGAATCCCTGCTGCTCAAGAGGGAGGAACTGCTGGGCAGGATACAGAGTGCGCTTTTACATTTACAAGGTGAGGCCACACAACGGAAGCGCGAGTCCCTTATTTCCCTCCCATAACCGTCACCACCAAACTGCCATTACAGTCTGGCGGTGTGGCTCAGTGGTTGAGCGTCGACCCAAGCACCAAAAGGTCGCTGGTTCAATTCCCGGTCAGGACACATGCCCAGGTTGTGGGCCCATCCCCAGTGGGGGCATGCAGGAGGCCGATGTTCTCACCGATGTTTCTAACTCCCTCCCTCTCCTTCTCACTTCCTCTCTCTCTAAAATAAATAAAAAAGAAAAGAAAAAATTCTCTCAAGCCTTGGTTTTTAAGCTCTAAAATGGGAACACTGTAGTCAGGTCACCGCTGTATATGCATGAGAATTTTTTAAATTCCAGGTCATGTAGTTGGTCTCTTCCACTCTAACAACACACCAGCTACAATACAGCTTCCAAAGTGTCAGCCTGCAGATGTATACTTGGGGAATTTCAAGGAAAACATAGTTGGGAGGGTAAAGCTGATGCAAAAATACCATTTCAAAGCCATAAAGAAACACTTTCATGATCATCTGCACATTTGTGTCGTGTGTATCGTTATTCTCCCCCATTCAAGATGCGAATCTGGAGACAACTGAGCTTTCATTATGAACAGCTGGGCTGCGAAGGCTCATAGAGTCCACAGAACAATCTGGGGTCCTTTAGGGAAAACAACAAGGCTATGTCAGAGCCACTCGCTACACAGGAGTGACGAAGCTCAAGCGGCACCTGTACAATTCCCTCTATTCAAGAGTTAGTGGCATATTCCTGGAGTTACGGCCACCCCCACCCACCCTTAAGTGAATAATGAGTTACTAGTCTTTCTGGCCACCCCATGTTGCTTCCTAACAATTTAGCTCTATTATTTAAAAAATCTAGCCCTGGCCGGTTTGGCTCAGCGGTTAGAGCATCGGCCTGCGGTCCGGAGAGACCCGGGTTCGGTTCCCGCTAAGGGCACGTACCTCGGTTGCAGTTTGTCCCCGGCCCTGGGTCCTGCGGGTGGCAACCACTCGATATGTCCCTTTCACGTCGATATCTCTCTCTCTCTCTCTCTCTCTCTCTTCCTCCCACTCTATCTGAATAAAAAAAATGGAAAAATGTCCTCGGGTGAGGATGAAAAAAAAAAATCTAGTAACAAGGATCCTTTGCATTTTTATATTAGGTTCAGTCTTTATGGAGTATACAAATATTCTTGCCCGGCTGGTGTGGCTCGGTGGTTGAGCATGGACCCATGCACCAAGAGCTTGCCAGTTTGATTCCTAGTCAGGGCACATGCCCAGGTTGTGGGCCTGATCGCCAGTGGGCGGCATGCAGGAGGTGGCCAATCAAAGTTCTCTCTCATCGATGCTTCTATCTATCTTTCTGTCTCCCTTCCTCTGTCTCTAAAATCAATAAAGAAAAAAAAAATTTTTTTTTAATATTCTTAATATGAGGCAGAAAATTAAATCCTGTTGCCTCCAACATCACACACCTTCACCTGGTTCAAATAAAGCAAGCAGTGTCGCATGGACTGTACTCCTGCAGCGATGACCAGTCCCGGCTCATTGTGGGCACCAGGGAGAAGGTGCCAAAGCAGCAGTGTCCACCAGGCCATGGTGGAAAGGGGCAGGGAGGTATTTTATTAAAATGGGAATAGGGAAGCCAAAGGTCCAGATAACCATAAGCTAAAGATTATTCTCTCTCTTTCACAATATAAAACACTGTGTTAATGGAGGCAGCTTTGGCGAAACAGTGTTACACTAGCAGGCCTTCAGGTGAGGTTCCCTCGCCACAAGCGATGGTCATGACAAGAGCACGTTTGTTTTGGAGAACAGGAAGTGTGAGGGTATTATGAGAAACATCACTGTTGGGGGAGAATCCCAAAGCAGGCTTCCTGGGCCCTTCTTAGCCCAAAGTTACAGGCCTACAGGACAATGGCTGCCTTTCAGAATCGAGTAAAATAGAACAGTCCTGTTCTCAGCCCACACTTACGCACAGCCCCTGGATGGAATGCTGAGCCATAAGAAAGGCAGACAAGAGGCAGAGCTCGAGGTTCTCGGGAAGGGTGGGCCCTGGTGACTGATGCAAAGGGGACTCAGCTGGACACGACAGATGCCTGGCTCGGGCACATGCTAGTGTTGTGCAGTGAGGCTGCCGCTGGGGGCGCCCAGAGGCAGGCCTGCGCCGGAAATGTACTCAGAGGCATGCCGTTTCTGGAACTCAAGGCAATAGACAAACTCTTTTTTTTTTCTCCTTGGACAGGTATGAAAAGAAAAGGCCCAGTGTTAGCAGGTTTGTCTCTTGTGTTCCTGTCACAGAGCCTGGCGGCCCATGAAGCCTTGCATTTTTGGATAATAACTTGGAGCCACAGTGAGGGCCTCTTCACCTCTCCTGAGAAGGGTACAATCCGTTCAGCACTGGAAAACTGCGCCCCTTCCCCCAAGGAGCTGCTTGGCAGAACGTGAACCTTTTTGTCTTCAACCCAGGAAAAAAAGTACAAAAAGAACAAGTCTAGGAACAAATAGGGAACAAGTCCTGGATTCTACCCAAAAAAGTAAGAAAAGGGCTGACACATAGGAACAAAGTCAGAACACTGTGCTCCTTAGCTATGTACCAGCTGTGCTGGCTCAGGGGTCCCACACTCCAGAGGCAGTCAGAGACCAGAGACAACACGCAGACCAAGACCACCGACCGACTCCGCCTAGTAATACATTCTGTAATCCACGGGAAGTGGATGGAGAAGAAATCTACCATGATTTCAGAGAAGTTGGTATTGCCTCACCTTCTCGAAGCTCTGCAGTGTAACTTCATACACAAGTGCAGCATTAGGTTCAATGCCAAATCTAGGCTTCCCTGTCTCTCCAAAACCATATCTGAAACAGAGAGTAGAGAAATAAGACTTTACAAGAACTGGCGTATTTCCAGGCACTTCGTTCGGTACATGTGGCATCACACTAGTGCAGAGCTGTCGTTTGCAAACGACGCACAGCGGAGACCCTGAAGACAAACCAGGTGCTGCTGGTCAGAGACACAGCGCCAGGTGCCACTGCGGTGTTCAGGAATCGAGGCTGGACGGAGCTGCCTCTCCGCCTTCCCATTCACACGCAACGCAGCACCTGTGCTCCTTGGGTCAGCTTGCTTAATGTGATCTTAAATGCCACTACCTTTTTCCTCTGCTTGATTTCCTGTCTAGTTCTTTTTATAAAATAGCCATTATTTGGCTATTAGGACCCTTCCCCACAACTTTATGAGCAGGAGGACAGAGAAGACGGGCACGGTCATCGTTCCAGTGCTGTTTGTTAGAGGTGTGTTTTAAGAAGCTTTCAACTCTCAAGTGCTGTCTCCTCTGACAGTACCACTTCCAGGCACATGAATGGGAGGAAAGGCTCACACATTGGGGGAAGAAATATACTTTCACAGTATTTCTTCAATACTTTTATTTATTTATCCTCACTCGAGGACCTTTTTCCATTTTTTATTCAGATAAAGCGGGAGGGAGAGAGAGGAAGAGAGAGAGAAACATCGACGTGAAAGGGACACATCGAGTGGCTACCACCCACCCGTGTGACCCAACCAGGGCCGGGGACAAACTGCAACCGAGGTACATGCTCTTAGCGGGAACCGAACCCAGGTCTCTCCAGACCGCAGGCCGACACTCTAACCTCTGAGCCAAACCGGTCAGGGCATTTCTTCAATACTTTTAAAGAACACACTAGGAAATACAAATGATATAACTATCTAACCAAAAAGAACAGCCCTAGTAAGCTCTACCCCTCATAAAAGAAATACTCTCATCGGTGCGGCTCAGTGGTTGACTATTATCCTGTGCACGGAAAGGTCGCTGGTTCGATTCCAGGTCAGGGCACGTGTCCAGGTTGCAGATTTGATCCCTGGCCAGGGTGCGTGCAAGAGGCAACTAATTGATATTTCTCTCTCTCCATCTCCCTTCCTCTCTCTCTAAAAATCAATATAAATATATCTGAAAAAACGGAAACGAAAAAAATACTCTCCCAGCTCTGTGGCTCTCACACCATAAATGCTACACCTTTTAGCCAAAACTTACTGAACAAAATCACTGCGGACATGTACATTTGTTTTTCGGATCATGCAGGGTCTTTAATAAATGCAAGGTGTTCAGGACACACACGCCTACCAGGCTGGAGTTCTGGTGGAGCTTCGTCTGTCTGGTTCAATGGCTTCCCAGCGTTTAGAACAGCATATTGGGAAAGCATGCACCACACTTTAATATATGAAAGGACATTGCAAAAAACTTAGGAAACCCAAACTTCCAGACTACAGTCGAAAGCTGCCAAACCAGGCCAATGCTAGTAAATTTTCTGCAGGCAAAAGGACCGAGCGGGAAGATACACCCCTTGCTGCTTGCACTCCTTTCTTCACCCCTTGCCTGCATTTTTCGGGAAGAGAATGATTGCTCACTCACCTCCACTGTTACACAAGTAAAGGCAGCTGCAGCCAGAGTGAGGCAATGAAAGCTGGTAGGAATGGGGTGTGGTAGTCATAATAGCAGGGCAAAGGGTATCTTCAGGAGGAAATAGGAGAGGACATAACTACCAGTGGCCAATTTTAGGAAGTGGTGACTAGTTCTCTACCTGAGCTCTCAGACCTATGTATCTGCTACTTTGTTTCTGCCATCTGGTAAAATTAGAACATTCCTTAACTGCTGGGAACTAGGCTGGTGGGTGAGTCCTTGCTGAGCCTGTGTTTACGGACAGCATGTTATATCTGGAACCCAGTGCTAAATAGGTACAAATCCAACAGATAATCTGGCACGGGCCTCAGACCAGTGGCTCCCAACCGGGGTGGACCTAATTCTCCCACCCCAGGGACATCTGGCAATGTCTAAAGATGGGTTCGTCACAGCTAGGGAGGTGCTACTGGCATCTAGTGGGTACAGACCAGGGACACTGCAGAACATCCTACAATGCACAGGACAGTCCCCACAACTGAGAAACATCCAGCCCAAGGTGCCAATCGTGTTGAGCATGAGAGGTGCAGGGGCTGGGTCAAGAGGAGCAAACTGTCCTGGTCATTGTCAATGGGATTAAGGAGGACTGAGGAAGGGCACTGTTCCCACCCTCTCCTGGGTTCAGATGGAGAGACCCTGTGGCATGTGTGTGGAGCACGTCATCCTGGGGCAGCACCCAGCCTGCCTTCGTGTCACTCGGGGAGCTGGGGCTGAGGCCGCACCGGCCTGGGCAGAGGGACCCGGGGCACAGGCGTGCGTCTGACTGAGAGGCAGACCCCACGAGCAGAACTCTGGGACTTAATTAAGGGACAAGCTGGGCTACAGGAACAGAAGGAACTTGTTATTACTTTTTTTTTTCTTTTCTTTTTTTTTCTTTTATTGTATCTATATGAGAAGATGGATGTTAGCTGAACATATTTCATAATATATGTAATTCAAACCATCATGCTGTATGCCTTAAATTTATACAGTGACTTATGCCAATTATTTAAAAATAAAACTGGAAAAAATATACTTCTATTCGTTAAATTGGAAAGGCCACAAAGCAAACTTTAATAAATTCCAAATAAATAAAACTAAATAATAAATACAATACTTTTGGATCACAATTCAATAAAAATAAATTTTTAAAAAGTCAGACAAAAAAAATCCTCATGGCTAGAGATGTTCAAAATGTAATCCTAAGAAACTGTTGATGCAGGGGTACTACAAATAAGTACTGTAAGATTTACAGAAAAGAATGACAAGGAGACAGTATGTGTCAGAATCTATCTTTCTTTCTTTCTTTCTTTCTTTCTTTCTTTCTTTCTTTCTTTCTTTCTTTCTTTCTTTCTTCATTCATTCATTTATTTTTTAATCCTCACCCGAGGACATTTTTTTTTTTATTTCTTTTTCAGCTAGAGTGGGAGGGGGAGAGAGAAGAGAGGGAGAGAGAGAGAGAAACATCGACATGAAAGGGACACATTTGAGTGGTTGCCTCCTGCGCGACCCAACCAGGGCCGGGGACAAACTGCAACCGAGGTATGCACCCTTAGCAGGAACCGAACCCGTGTCTCTCTGGACCTCAGGCCGACGCTCTAACCACTGAGCCAAACTGGCCAGGGCCATAATATATTTTTTTAAAGATCCGAATTCTAATTTTACTCCTTTTGTATATTATTCATGTAACAATTTGTAGTAAAGGACTTGTCGACATACCTTTATATGTATTTACTCCCACATACATACACAAGTACATAAACATACATATAAATAAATAATTTGGAGTCTTTATCCTTTTAAAATGTAATTAAGTTAGTAATAGAATAAATAAAACAATGCATACACTATTAACGTTCTTGAATTAACAGTTGCCTGCAGACAGTAGAAACACAAATAATGGCTATTAATAACCATTAATTAGCCTTTATGTGCATACAAACACTTGTACCATAAGTTCTTATCAATTACTCTCTTTTTATAGATGAAGAAACTGAGGCTCAGAGAGAATTGCTTCCTGAGAGACACACAAAGAGGCAGTGTTGAGCCAGGATTTAAATTCAGACTCTGTCCCCAGAAAATGGTCTAGTTTTTGACCCAGACTGCCTCACAGTTAGACACTATGGCTCCTGGCCGCCCATGTTTTTGTTTGGGGTTGGTGCAGCAAAGAAACATAAAGGAAAAAGTCAAAACTAGCTACACTAAACTAAAATGAAAAAGATGAATCAGTCACAGTATTGAAAGGAATATGAGAGAGAAAGGGTTTCTTTGGAAGGGCTTTATAGACTTCTTCCTATGGAAACATCCCGCTAAGTGCCTCCCAGAACGGGCGAGAAGGTGTGCCCTGGAAGTGCTTGAAGAAGGGATCTGGGAGACAGGAGGTGACTCAGAGCAGTGTCTGCAGCAGCCACATGGCCAGCCTCGGAGGCAGGGCCGCGCGTGAGGAGTGGGAAGCAGCCACCGAGCACGCATGGCAGGCCCGGCGCGTGGAGCTGTCTGCACACATGGGTAAAGCCACGCAGTGCATGTGTGAACAGTCTCCTGCAGAACAGGTCCTTTACACAACTCAACACACTATCCAACATCTTGAAGAGAAAATAACAAGTTCCTTTTTTTTTTGGTACGTGCCCCTAGTGGGAACCAAACCTGGGACTCTCTGGTCCGCAGGCCGAGGCTCCAACCGCTGAGCCAAACCGGCCAGGGCACAAGTTCCTTTTTAACTGTGCTAAATTATTTCCCCCCAAATATGACAAAAACCTTTTATACCTAGAAATTTATGAAAAATTGTTAACTACTTTTATGACTCAAACAATCTGAAAAAATCAAACATATGTTACAATAGGGTTTCCTTTTTCTTGTGGTCTGAGGGTAAAATGAAGAGAAAGACAGACATCACGTTAGCAAAAACAGCTAATCTACTGAGGGTCTGTGTGTGTCAGGCACACTGCAAAGTTCTGTACACGTATTACCGCATTCAGTCTGCACAGCTGTGTGAGGGGGACACTACTGTCCCCACTGTCCAGAAGGAGAAACCCAGGGGCGTGAAAAGACTTGTAGAAGTGCACACAGCTTACTAACTGTGCTTAAGCACTAATGATACAGGAAACAATTTAAACTTGCGAGGAACTATTTGCACTAATAAACATAAGGATAATTTGTTTCTCTCTGCCATTAAACTTGAGGCATCTACCTCTTCAAGTACCTTGTCAGCTAGGTTAGAATATAACAAATGGATTTACATAATATCATATGCTCACAGTGGATACAGAATTTATCCTCAACGAACTGAAATCTGAAAACATACATGGGACATAAATACCATGTATGTCTCTTTATATAAATCTAGAACTACTGTAATTTTGGAATGCCAGATTTAAAATCATTGGATATATTTAAATATAGAGTTTAGAAAGCCTTCTACATGCATTGCTTGATTAAAAAAAAGTCTCTTACAGAAACAGACTCATTGGAGGGTGAACAACAACTACAGAGTAAATGTAAATAAAACACTGAAGTGGGAATCCAGTAGTGGAGAAAGGACTATGACAGAGAAAAAGAAGGTATTAAATAAAAGATGTCCCTAGTGAAGACTCTAAAAGGTTCAAGGTATAGGCATTTTGGAAAGATTTTCAAGTGAGTAGGGGCATAATTAAGACATCACTTGAGCCTGGCTGGTGTGGCTCAGTGGTTGAGTGTTGTCCCATGCACCAGGAGGTCGCCATCTGGATTTACGGTCAGGGCATAAGCCCAGGTTGTGGGATCGATCCCCAGTAGGAGGGTGTATGAGAGGCAACCAATCAATGTTTCTCTCTTATTGATGTTTCTCTCTCTCTCCCTCTCCCTTCCTCTCTCTGAAACCAATAAAAAACATATTTAAAAAGAAAAAATATCACTTGAGAAATAGGATTATGGCCCAAGTGTTAGGGCAAAGGCAAATATGCCACTGATTATTACCTAGGCTACACAAAGGCAGTTGTACAAAAGGCACAATATTACCTATTGGTAAGTGTAGTTCATCAAGATTCTTTTTTTTTTTTTATCCAAACCCAAGGACATTTTTCGATATTTTGTTCAGGTAGAGTGGGAGGGAGGGAGAGAGAGGAAGAGAGAGAGAGAGAGAGAAACATTGACGTGAAAGGGACACATCGAGTGGCTGCCACCCACACAACCCAACCAGGGCCGGGGACAAACTGCAACTGAGGTATGTGCCCTTAGTGGGAACCGAACCCGGGCCTCTCTGGACCGCAGGCCGACGCTCTAACTGCTAGGATAAACCAGCCAGGGCTAGTCAAGATTTTTAATTCCTCAAAATCCTACTGACTGAAATCCAGAGGAGACATGAGATAAGCTGATGCACTTGCAGGCAAACAGAATCACAACAGCCTGGGGTTTCTCTCAGGGGTCTATTTCTCAATAGAAGGGTTGGATCCATGGTATAATTTTAGATCTAAAAATAATACCAACCATGTTTTCACAAGAGGGACTATTAGTGTCTGATAGTTCTAAGCTTGGAAGTGCTAATGGGTATCCTTATGATGGAAAAAATTTAGGCAAAAATGAGTCATCTCCACTGCCTTTATATCCAGGAAGAACACTTGTTTTTCTCAGGGACTCTGTATAAGAACAGGTGGCACAAATTCAAGTGGTAATAAATCATCCAAATGCTTCTTCTACTTCCAACCCCACATGTTTTACTGCCTCCTGTCTAATTTAGAGAAAACGGAGGAGGGGGCAAGAGGATCACGTGAGAAGTGCCAATAGTTCCTGTCTTGGCAATACAGCAGGCAAAACAAACAAAAAAGCAAAACTTGCCTGTCAGTCCTACCCTTAACACACATCAATCGAGTAAACAGGCCCATAAACCTTTGTTACAGAAGGCCCAATAATTCACTCCATCACTCACTATAGCTTGATTTACTGTTAGCATTAACTTCACCGAAAATATCAAATGTTGACTGAAAAAGCAAGCATATCCCTGTTCTTTTGACAACTTCACTGTGTACTGAACTGGCATGCTGCTTACCGTGGTCCAATATATAAAATACACTCTTCTCCCCGCTGCATTTTCTCCAGGGCTTTGTCGATTCCGATTGGAATGTCGTGGTCTTCGCCTTCGCCCACGATGAAAACCACATCTCTGCGGTCAAACATCCGCTCGCCACAGCGGCCTTCCAGGTGGACTGAGGGAGGAGACACACAGTCACCCAAGCTGCTCCTCAGGACAGTGAATTTAGGAAAATGATGATTGAGTATTTCCCCTTTCCCATAGAGACATAAATGGTATGTCTTGTTGAAGCTTAGTCTACCCAGTCTGAAAATTTAATAGCAATCATGTTTCTTCCTGTTTTAAGTTTAAACTTCAAATTACTGATAACTGTATCAACAAGATTAGTGGATAAGAAGCAATAGACAATAAAACCAAGTGGAAACATAGGTTTAATTTAAACCTACTATTTCTATCTCTCTCTCCCTCTCCCTACCTCTCTCTCTGAAGAAAAAAAAAAAATCAATAAAGAAAAAAATTTTTAAACTACTAAATGGCAGAGGTTTAGAAATACTAAATTATTTAACAGATAATTATCAAATGCCACATATATTTAAATGTTTTTTTTATCCTCACCTGAAGACATTTTTACATTTATTTTCAGATAGAGGAGGAGGGAAGAGAGAGAGAGAGAAACATCGATGAGAGAGACACATCGACTGACACCCACATGACCCCAACCGGGGCCGGGGACAAACTGCAACTGAGGTACGTGCCCTTAGTGGGAACTGAACCCGGGAGTCTCTGGTCCGCAGGCCAACAAAATGCTACATATATTTAATATCAAGTATATAATGGCTTAAACATTTAGAACTGCACCCTGGTTTTGGATGCTAGGATGAAAAACAACTGAATGACCATTTCCCCAGTGACTTACAAAGATGAACTAAATACAGAAGTTCTTTTTTTTCTTTAAGAGTCTTAATCTCATTCACAAATATATTTGAATAAAAATGGAAAGCCCAAAAGGCAACATCAACAACTAACATAGCTATGTCTCTTGGTGGAGAAATAAATGTAAAGTGTGACAGTATCAATAAATACTCTACTATAACGCCACAAACCATTTCTTAACCACTACCTCTAAAAAGGTTAAGTAAAGAGGTCAGTTTCTTGGGGCCTCATTCCCCACTCCCCTCAAACTCACTCAGCTCATTTCCAGGGTGATTTCATATTAGATAAAGGGCTTTTATGTTCTTTCAAGACAACATTTTTAAAATGCATATTTTTTTCTTGATCGATTAGACTTTTTTTTTCTAGGATAAACAATTCTCTGAAACTTTCAACTACTTTTAACAGTAGGGTTATTCATTCCTTACCATTTAGGTCTTTGACTCAAGAAAAACTGACCATTCGTACCATAGCACAACAAAAATAACATAATTTGTCTTTCATAAGAAAATTCTTTATTCCTATTTCTGTAATATAAGGGCCTAGATTAAAATGTAATGATTTCCTAAAATGTTTTTTTTTTTTTTGGACTGGTTGCTCTACTTTAGATCAATAATTTGCTTTAGTGATTTAAAAAAAAAAAAAAACCACTCATTATGTTATACTCATTCCATGGAGACAATTATTTTCCAAATACAAATTCAATTTCAACCTACTCTACTTTTGAACTACATGATCTCAAAGGTAATGTGAAGCTCTAAAATTCTATGATTCTATGACCCAGTAATACAACTCTCAATATAGGCCAAAAACTAGTTTCAAAGGTAATTCCTGTAGTTAATCATTTGATCAGTTACCTGTAGCCTGGACCTGAGAAATAAAAGAAACCCTGCGCAGTAAACACAGTCATGCAGACACAGGGGCCACAATGTCTCCCGGGCATGCATGCCTTTCTAACTCACTAGGACTAATACCTTCCGGATCTGCTCCCACTGCAGGCATGGGATAGAATCTGAGAAGCTTGGCCGAACCAGAAAAGGCCTGACGCTCGGGGTGGAGCTGGCATATAGGAATTTTGCTCTTTATCCCATACTCATAAATGCTGGAGATTCTATCCCACTCACTTTTGGAATGCTCTAGATCAAATAAAACTTAATCAACTTGCAACACAGTGATAGTTCTTTTGAACTGGAAAATATTTTCAAAATAAATTCAACTTTATTATATTCAAATACATAATACATACACTAGAGAAGTTCAGCAGGGAAGGAGTCCAAGGCTTAAGATATTTTTACTAGCGTAAATGCTGATGTTTCTAAAGTTGAGAAGTTTGCACTAAATATTCTTAAATCTGCCCAAGAAATTTAATTTAGACTAATGGATGACACCTTTCGTGGGAAAAGATATGCTGCGTGAGTAAAGTGAGTTTCAGCCCACGCACTGTGAAATTCCTCAAGTATCGAGATTTATTACCCTAGTAGTTCATAACTGAGTTGACAAATCTTTTTGTCTGAGGTTTATTGTTAGAAGTATGTTCCTCCCTAAAGCAGAGTACATTTGTAGGAGAGGAAACTATCAGTACATTCATTGTGGTTTTGGTTGATCAAGTTTGAATATGTTTTCAAAACAGGAAATGCAGAGACTGCAATGACTCCTGCCTGTGTGTCCCTTTGGGCTCGATGCATGTACTAGATATTAAAATACATAAATAGCCTCAGAAGTTCTCTTTACATGTGATATTCTGTGATATTAGTGAAAAAAAAAAAAAAGATTTACTACTAATAAACATGTTGGGGAAGATAAGTAAGCAAGCAAGAAAAGAAAAGTTAAAGTCAAATGATAATGGAGGCATAATTAAGAAAGCAAAAAAACCCCAAACAACCATTCACTGCTGGTCTAAGACAATAAGTGATAGAACCAATGTTTGTGGCCACCTAATAGGAAAGCAAAGAAATTATAATAACTCTTACAAAATACTTACTACCTTATATATGTGGACTAACCTTTTTTTTTCTAAGTTGGACCCGAACAAGCACTATGTACAGTACCATAAAATCTGAAACCAAGTGGGGGGTGGGGGGGATTGGAGGAAGGTGTCTAGGGTGTCTAGAGGGGAAAAAGGAGAAGCATCTGTAACAAAAATAAATTAATAAAAACTGCAAAAAGAAGATAATGCTATGCAAAAAAAAAAAAAAAATCTGAAACCGATCAACTAATCTGTGCAAGCACACCCCAGTTGGCATGTATATATAAAACCACCAACTTTTAGTAGAGACTGGAATGTTAGACAAAGAGGAGGTATCCTAGCCTCAGAGACTCTACAGCCCATTGATTCTTACATCTACAGGTAGCAAAGGCTATATGGCTCCTTAATTGGCTTCTGAACTTGGAACACTGGTGTGACAAGTTCTACAGGACTGCTGACAAGCTCACACACCCCACCTCGGAGCCTTGGTGCCACACAAACGCATGCCTATTGCCACCCTTCGAGTGATAGAGGTAGACATGCCTAGCTCCTACAGAGCCAGTTTACTATTGTTTTCATGGTCTTAACAATTGCTACTAAGAAAAAAAGTATGGCAGCTCTGGCTGTGGAAGACCTGTGTTTGCTTCTGACCTTGCATCTCTTAATGCAAATACTCACTTAATAAATATTTAATAATAACCACCATGACTCACTGGGAGCTTGGCCTCTGGGGCTCAGGAGGTCTGTTGCTAATTCCAACCAGCATAATTTACGGGAAGTAAATGATCTATGACGTGCCCAAAGAGAAGAAAAGTACATACAGGATGCTTCTACTTAGGGCTTTTTTTGGTGGGGAAAGAAATACACAAGTTAAAAAGGGACAATAGTTTCTCTTTACTTAAAGTCTATGCAACTTAAAGGGGGGGAAGGTCCTTCAAACCCCAAGAAGTCAAACCAAACCAAATTACTCAAGCTTAGCTATGCAATCTGAGTGTAACCACATCAAGTGAGCCCCGTCTGCTGCAAAACATCACTTAAACTGGAGCTCTGACTTATTGTTCTCTGACTGCCCTAGAGCAATTTTGTTTTGAAGAGCACAGAACACCCTGTTCTGAATGTGGCTGGCACATGAACTCAGTGTGCTGACAGCAATTTGTACTCCGATTAAAACGTGTGTGTACTGCAGTAACAAAAACTGGAATGCAAAAGCTGTATAATTTGTATTTTAGGAAGCAAAAGTGAGAAAGAGGCTACACAACCCAAAAATAAAGCTGTAAATGCTCCAGCCTAAAGACTTAGCTCTGGTGAGTGTCTGTTTTCTCTTTTCTAATTATAGTTGTTGGTGTCTGATAGCTTTGCACTCATTCCCAAAACAATTACTGGGTCATGGGGATCTAAATGGGAATGTTGTAATAGCATTACTAGACAAGATTGGTTATTTGGCCAGAGAAAACCAGGTTGTGACAGGTTACTCCCACTTGCCAAGGGTTTTTTTCTCTGCTGCCTAATTCATGCCAAATGAGCTTCTCTCTGCCCGTGTCTCCTGCCTAATAGAGCAAGAGCATCCAAGAAAGGGGACCTTAATGAACCCCTGAAAAGGCAAACGAGGAAGCAGAGATGGATTTCTAAAATCAGTAGAGCATATTTAATCACTGATTGAAGAGAAACTGTTCCTGCCAGGCATGGTGGTCATGCCTCCCTTCCTCCTCTGCACCATTTCGTACTATTTGAGATGAACAAATACCCCTACAAGGCTGCTTATGGAACTGAGGGACAGATGCAAACTGACAGCAGGCTTGGAAGCTGGCTAGTTGAATAGAATAACATTTATACAGACAACATATATCTTAGTCTAAACAGGAAGCATACTCATAGCAATAAATTCTACACCAACACAAATCCTCACCACTCTTCTCTTTACAAGGCTTAGCACTTTAATCAGACCTGAATTCCAGTCCCAGTTTGCCACTTAACAACTGTGGCTTTGGGCAAGGTCATTTAAATGATCTGACTCAGTTTCTTCATCTATAGAATGGGGGAAATGATACTAGCTAACTAATAATTGTTGAGAGGATTCAATGAAGTACTGATTAAAGCTTCTAGACCAATACATGGCATGCATGCATTCATTCATTCATTCATTCATTCATATGTCAGGGTGTCTATTATGTGAAAACAGTGTTATACATGGATACACAGAGATTAACTCAATGAATGTTAACTATTATTTCCCTGTAATTTGTGTAAATAATACTAGCTAAAACATACTTTAGAACTTG